GGGGCACCTCTGTGTGTCCCCCCCCCGCCTTGCACTGCGGTTTTCGTACCTGTCTCCATGCCCCAGCGGCACCCTGAGTGCGGTACTGATCCTGCCCGCCGGGCTCAGCCCCTCTGTGCATGCCTGTACCCTCTGCCAGCCCACAGAGCCCGGGGTCAGCCCCGGCTCTTGCCCCCTAACAGCCCCGGTGCCTCGGCAGCGGCGTGCCAGGGCCCGGCAGGGGACGGGGACACTGCCACAGTAGGTACGGTTTGCGCAGCGCTGGGCTCCAGGCCTGCCCCAGTACCGGCAGGGCACACGGTGCCTTTTGGGGACAGGGCTGGGCGGCGACACCCGTGCCTGCCAAGGGGCTCAGCTGGGACACGCAGGGTGCTAAAGAGGCTCCGTGCGAGGGAGAAATCATTGCGGGTCTTTTCCACTGGGTTCTCACCCCTGCTGCGTAGCACCGTGCCCTGCACCTCTGGGTGCTCCTGCCCGTCCCCAGTCCCCCCTCTTGCTGGCTGCCTCCGTCCCTGGGGGTGGCAGCGGGGGTGCAGAGAAGGCTCTGCCCCGGGATGGCTGCGCTCCCACAGGTGTTTCTGTGCAAAGTTTGCCTTTGGTGCAAACAAGAGCAGGCACATGTCCCTGAGGAGCCTTTGCAAAGAGCTCGTGTTTGCTCTAAGAGAGGCCTTTGTACTTGGAGAGGGAGCCAGGTAGGGGAGTTGGGAACCATTTATTGCAGCCACGCATGGGGGCTAAACCCTCTCTGCTCCTGCTCCCCTGCCTCGGTCTTGGGCTGTTCCCACGTCCCTGGGGGTGCTCAGCCCTGCGGCTCTTTTAGGGACCGTGGCGTGGGCTTGGCTGCCCACCCGCAGCGCGGTCTCGGGCAGGAGTTGCCCGTCGCGGTGCCGTGGTCCCAAGCGGTTCGCCCTGGCCGCGGCCCCTCGGCAAGCGACGCTTTCCCTTGGGCCCATTCATGGCGCCCAAAGGGCTTCAGCTGGCGCGGGTGGGAGAGGAGAGAGTGCCGCACCGCGGGCAGGCTGGCCCCGACGCTGGCACCGCGGTTTCTCGCAGAGCCTGGCTCCGGGGCGAGACGCCCCGTGGCTCCCTCCCTGCCCCGTCCCACCCGCCGGGGCTTGCCCAGACCCCGCTTGGGCAAATAATATATCCCAGGAGCACCCAGATCCCATGGGCATGGGAACCGCGGGAAAGCCACTCGCCCTCGGGGACCCGGCCGGAGATGCCCCAAAGCCGCTCCGAAAAGCGTGGGGAGCGGCGGGCGCAGCACACCTCCCCGCACCGATTCCCTGTGTGCACAGGGAGATGCAGATTAGATAGATCATTTCTGTAGGGAGCAGGGTTTATAATCCATCTGTATAAATTCTTGGCATGTTTCTCCGAGGATGTGGAGTGCATTTACCTGTTTTCAAGGCTGACAAAGGGGGTGAAGGGCTCTGGGAATCCCCGGGGAAGGGACAGGCTTTGCCCCTTGCCCGCGTGTGAGGCTGGGGTGGGAAATGCCTCTTTCTCGGTCTGCGTTGGTGGCCAGGCTTCACCATGGTTAATTTTGTGCACGGAAAAACCCACCTTTCCTTGATTTCGGTGGAGGACTGCGGAGCCAAGGCTATAAAATGTTTTTTCCAGTATCACAAAGCACTCCTGGGCTGGTTGGTTTTTTTGTTTTTTATTTTTTGCATGTAAAGTCCTGGTGAAGATTGGACAATTAATGTTGGGGTTTTTTTTCATTTTGGTGACAGAACCAAAAAAATGCGCTTGTGTTGAATCAAAAGGTTTTCCTCTCTGGCTTTTTAGGTTAACCAAAAAAGAGAAAAAAAAAAAAGCCCAAACAAACACTCAAAGGTTTCATTTTGGGTCAAGTCCAAACATTTTGTTTAACATGAAACAAAATGTTTGGGTTTGGTTTCAGGTTGTTTAACCCTTTTGAATACGGTCAAGTTGATTTGTAAAGAAAAATCACTGCTCAGAAATTAAGAGCCGAGTAATTGTTTTGAAAGTGTAAGTGTGAAACGTGCTGGAAATATCAAGGTGAAGCCTTTCTTAAAATAATAAAAAGGAGGGAAACTCAGGGAGTTTTTTCCTAATTCTCACATATTTTTTCCAGCCGAAATGCTGCCAAATTTTATCTAAATTCAGAAATCACATCTGTAACCCCCGAGTCACTTGTTTGACATTTTTAAAGTGTGGTCTGTTGCCCGGGCTCACGATTTAACTCTGGGAAAACGATGCCCTTGGCTCAGTTGTGAACCAAATTGCTATTAGAAATGATAATGAGCTCTGTTCCATTAATTTATTATTAATCAGTAATTAGTAGGATCAGTTAGGTGAGATGAATCGCTCGTGACAAAAGT